GAGCCCGGGGCCTCGGCCGTGGACAGGCCACAGCAGGTGGGAGCCAGCATCCCCCGGGACCCTGACACCCGCCCTGCCCATCCCCTGCTGCCCTCGCTCCTTGGGGCAGGCCCCGCTCCCCATCCTCTGTCCTCAGTTTACCCACTTCTTCCCATCCCATCCGTCTAGCCCAGGACACCCCGCCCGGCTCTGTTCCCGCCCCGAGGCCCCCAGGCCTCTGCTGCCCCTCCTCCAGCCCGCCTCCTCCAGGAAGCTGCTCGGCCGCCAGCTCTGAGCCACGCCTTTCCACAGAGACCCCCAGCTTGTGCCTCGGGGGGTCCTGCCCAAACGGGAATGTCCCCACAGCATGTCACCCCGCTAGGGACTGCACGTTTGTGTCCCCCAAGATCAGATGTGGAAACCCTCTCCCCAAAGTGGTGGAGTTAGAAGGGATGAGGTGGGGAGGGCTGTGGTGGGACCCGTGTCCTGAGAGAAGACCCAGAGCCCCCGCCCACCCCGTCCCTGAGGCCACAGCGAGGGGGGGCCACCCAGCCGCCGGCACCCAACGTCACCCCCACCCACCCCACCACCGTCAGACTCGGGGCAGGGGCACCCCAGCCCGACTTCAATGGCACCACACCTGGCAACCAGCCACCAAGTCTCAGATGGGGCCAGCCACCCCACTCCCCAAGCGCTCCCTCAAACCCCACACAGGCCCCCCCTCAAACCCCCACACAGGCCCCCCCAGGCCCCCCACAGGCCCCCCTCAAACCCCCCCACAGGCCCTCCCTACAGGCCCCCCACAGGCCCCCCCTACAGGCCCCCCACAGGCCCCCTCAAACCCCCCCACAGGCCCTCCCTACAGGCCCCCCACAGGCCCCTCCTCAAACTCCCCCACAGGCCCCCCCGACAGGCCCCCCCGACAGGCCCCCCACAGGCCCCCCTCAAACCCCCCACAGGCCCCCCTCAAACCCCCCCACAGGACCCCCACAGGACCCCCACAAGCCCCCCTCAAACTCCCCCACAAAACCCCCTACAGACCCCCCAACAGGCCCCCCACAGGCCCCCCCACAGGTCCGCCCACAGGCTCCCCACAGGCCCCCCCACAGGCCCCCCCACAGGCCCCCCCTCAACCCCCCCACAGGCCCCCCCCACAGGCCCCCCACAGGCCCCCACAGCCCCCACAGGCCCCCCACAGCCCCCCACAGGCCCCCCCTCAAACCCCACCACAGGCCCCCCACAGGCCCCCCCACAGGCCCCCACAGCCCCCCACACACACACAGGCCCCCCACAGGCCCCCACAGCCCCCCCCACAGCCCCCACAGGCCCCCACAGCCCCCCACACACACACAGGCCCCCCACAGGCCCCCACAGCCCCCCACACACACACAGGCCCCCCACAGGCCCCCACAGCCCCCCACACACACACAGGCCCCCCACAGGCCCCCCACAGCCCCCACACACACACAGGCCCCCCACAGGCCCCCCACAGCCCCCACACACACACAGGCCCCCCACAGCCCCCCACACACACAGGCCGCCACAGAGAACAAACACTCGCTCCCCGGACACCGTGCGCCCGGAGGCCAGGGAGCCGATAACCCGCCGCCCCACGCCCGCCTTCCCGCCTTCCCTGTTTGCTTTTCGGCCCAGCGGGGGGCGGGGGCCGCTCAGCGTGGTCGGGGGACGTTCGGCTCCGGGGTGAGGCGGGCAGCGCCCAGCGCCCTTGGCGGGAGCCTTCAGGACCCTCCCGTCAGGCAGGGAAAGCCAGGGCTCCGGCCACAGCCGCCGGGGGCGGGGGGGGCATGGAGCCAGCGAGCACGGGGCAGCCGGCCCGGGTCAGAGGTGCTTGGAGAGGTGGAACCAGTGCGGGGTCTGGGCCGAGCTGGGGGCTGAAGCTTCGGCAGGCCCGTCCTGGGCACAGCCCCCCACATCCATCCCCAGCTGAGCCCTGCCTGGTGGGCAGGCGGGTGGGCCAGCCCCCCTTACACACCCAGGGCTGCCTGGGCGGGCGCCCACAGCTCCCTGGGGGAGGCCCCCTCCTGACACTGGCTCCGGTCTGTGTGCTCCGTGGGGCCCAGCAGTGGACACCGAGGCCACAGGCCGGCCTGAGGCGGCGGCAGGGGCACAGGGCTGCCCGGTGCCTGGAGAGCAGCACCCCCACTGCCCTGATGCTCCTCCCTGGGGTGGCCCTCCCGGGGGGGCAAGGCAGTGAGCACAGGCTGCCCTGCGGGGGCCCGAGCCCAGGGGGAGGGCAGGGGCTGAGGGAGGGGTCCCCACCGCTCGGCAATGGAGCCCGCCGCCCTGTAGGCCAGCCGGCTGGTCAGCACCGGCCCCGGGCAGCGGCCGCAGCGGGCCGGCCAGGCCAGGCCAGGGCGCACCGAGGCCATGGCTGTGGAGACCTTAGCCTGACCCCGGAGCACGGCTCAGCCTCCGCTGTGACTGCGGGTGGTGTGGCCACCCCTGGGCGGAAGCCTCTCATGGACAGGTGGGTGCGGGTGGGCGGGCCTGTGGGTGCTCGGCACCTCCACAACCAGGGGCAGCGAACCAGGCCCCCAGAAGGCCCTGCTGGGGGGAACGCCGGTGCCTTCACAGCCTCAGACCCGGAGAGGGGTGCAGGGCCTGGGACGGGCAGTGCCCCCCCAGGGAGCAGGAGGCAGCGTGGGGCCCTGGCCCTGGACTCGGAGGCTGGGCAGGCCAGGCCTCAGTGCCCACGGGGCTCCCGGACGCACAGCCCGCCCGGCCCAGCTGGAGCGCTCAGGGCAGCCACGCCGACGGGGGCGGGGAGGGCAGGGGTCCGAGCGGGCCTGAGCGCACAATCGCCCCTTGTCCGCGGCTCCCCTCCCCGGCGGCCAACGCGACCTGCTTATCGCCGGGAACAATGGCCACACACATGCTTATCGCCCGCTGTTTGCTCCGGGGTCAGCCACAAACACGCCGTCCCCGAGATTTCCCGGGATGCCCCCGCCCCCCGCAGCCCTGGAGCCCCGCCCCGGAGCACCACCACCCCCGCGCTCGAGCCACACGGCCTGCGGTCACGCATCCTGGAACACACAGCCAATGTTTCCAGGAAACTCCAGCCACCTCTCACACAAGACCACAGACGCGTGCATGCACACGTGTACGTACACACGCCACACAGGCACATCCCCACATATATAGCACACATACAGCACAGGCACACGTGCACATTCACATACAGCACACACCAAATATACACAACAGATACATGCACATGCTCACATACCTATACACACAGCAGACATACATGTCCACGTATGTGTGTGCACGCCCATGTGTGCACATGTGCATATACACATACACACACGTGTCACATGTACAGCACTGGCACAGGTGCACACGTTCACATTGCACATGCCTGCACACACGACACAGACATACATGGACACACGTAGTGCACATACAGCAGTCACATGCACATGGTGACACACAGCACATGGAACACAGACACGTGCTCACAGCACGGGCACACCCACAACACAGGTGCACAAGGTCACACATGACACACACCTACATACGTGCTCAAGCGTCCTTGTCCAGGTGATATCCAAACCCCCCCAGGGTCACGTCTGTGTCCCTCAAGCTGCTGGGGTGACACTGGGGACCCCAACGTAGGGACTCCCACCTGCCACAAGCCCCTGCGGTGACAGGAGTGTCCCAGCCCCTCCCTCAGCTCCGCCCTCCGCCAGGACCCGAGAACAGGCTGAGGCTGAGGGAAGGCCCCCTGCCCGTGACCCCTCCGCGAAGCCTGGACAGACGGTCAGCACCCAGGCCAGGGCCCTTCGGCACCGCCCGCTGAGGAGCCGTGGAGGCCCGGCCCCTCCGCCAGCTGCGCCGCCGGGGCTGCTGCTGGGGCGCCCACGGGCACAGCTCCGGCCCCCGAGCCCCAGGAGAAAGGACCGCAGCTCCCAGGGCCGAGACTCGGCGGCCGAGGCAGGCAGCGGGCGAGCAGGCTTCTGTAGAGCAACTTCCTGTTAAACCGTGGCCGGTGGCCGCTCCCGCGTGGAGGCTGGGCCCGGGGGCCTGGGCTGGCCGCGCCCAGACAGGCCCCAGTGGAAGGAGCGAGGCTCCGGGCCCAGGTCTCCAGGGGCCAGACGCCCCTCAGGAAAGAGGAAGCTCCTGAGCCACCCCCGGAGTCTAATATGGGGTCCGCTCGGGGCCAGCTGCCCGGAGAGCTCCCCAACTTGGAGAATCCAAAACACCCTCGTCCCTGGCCCTCACTCACCTGACCATGACCTTCACCCAGGACCCCTCATGGCCCAGGCCTACGTCCCGCCCATGGGCCAGGCCCACCGGCCCCGCTGCCCCTGCGCCCCAAGGTGCTGGCCCAGGAGCCACGCCCTCCCCCAGGCCTGTGGGAGCTGCACCCCAAGGTGGGCACATCCCCACAAGCACCCCCAGGTGGGCAGCCCAAGCCTCCTGCCCCTGCCCCTGCCCCTCCCCTCAGAGCTGTGGGGGCAGGAAGCAGAAGGGGGCCCTGGGATGCAGCATGTCCCCCTGTGCCTCCCAGGACCTGAGGCTGGAGGCAGCAGAGGAGGGACCGGGGCACAGCCTGTGGCATCAGCTCCAGGACCTCCAGGCCCTGTCCTGAGCCCCGGGCCGCCGCCCACCATGATGGCCTCGCACCCAGGACCCCAGTGCCCCAGAGGCCGTCCTCCCACGGGCGGTCCTTTCCCGGGTGGGGGCTGCAGCCCAGCGTGGGGTGCCTTTGGGGATGCTGGGGGCCAGGTGAGAGTGGAACAGACCCCCGAGCTGTGCTCCTGGCTGCGGCTGACCGTGCCCACGCTGACCCCGGACCTGTGCCCCCCGGACGGGCCCCCCGGAACCGTCCCTCAGAGCGGCCCCTGGCAATCCCGCCTGGAGCCAACGGGACGCGTGCCAGCCCCCGCACGGAAGTGCGCGATAACGGGCCGCTGCCCGCACCAGAATCTTCCGAGAGGCCCGGGGCCTGATAAAGCAGCGCCCGAGATCCTGTTTGGCCGCACGGGAGGTGGGGCGAGGCGCCCGGCGGGGCAGGGCCCCTATATAAGGCGTCGGAGGCCGCTACTCGGAGCACAGGAGCAGCGAGTCTGCCTGGTGTCAGTGCGGGAGGCCGGGTCCTGCGGAGACCGCTTCTCCACCACCATGCTGGGCCCTCGGCTGCTGCTGCTGCTCTGGTGCGGGGGAGCCCTGCTCGGCGCCGGTGAGTGGGCGCCGGGGATGGGGGCACGGCAGACGTCTGCCCCGGGCCTGGGAGTCTCCCGGCCTCTTGCCTCCGGACTCGGCCAGAAGCGGGCTGGCCACCAGGATGTGGGTGCGAGGCCCCTCCTTGCTCTGGCCAAGGCCGGGGTCACCCCAGCCAGCCAGGGTCAGAGGCTGCCATAGGGGACGGGCAGTGTTCTCCGAAGCCCAGGCTGGGTGGACAGGACTCAGGCTCAGCCCCCCCACGGGTCCTGAGAGGGCACAGGTCCCCAGGGGCAGCCACAGTGACGCAGGCTCGTGGGCACTGGGGCCACAACATCCAGGTGGGGGCCCAGCTCCGTGGGTCCTGGCTGCGAGCAATGGGCCTCGGTTCCCCATCTCCCCCTCACATGAGCCCACCGTCCCACCACCCCCCCCGGGGGCAGGTCCCCTGCCCTCTCCTTACCCTCTCATGCCCGGCCCTTCTGCCCACTGGCACTGCTTGTGCCCCAGCCCTCCTCCCCAACCAGCTCCAGGCCCGTGCTCCTCTGCCCACGAAGCCCAGGTGGCTGGGCCCAGGGCTCCCTCCCCTCTGCTCAGCCCTGGGCCCGCAGGCCCCTCCCTGGTGGCCCCATGCCCCCCCAGCCTCGGGGGAGCAGGGAGTGGGCGCAGGTGCAGCGGCGGCTGCAGACACCAGCCCAGTAGGTCCCCTGGGCCGCCCCGCTCCCTCCCCTAAGCCCTTCCCCTCCAGGTACCACCTTTCCTGTAAGGGCTGCTCTGAGCCCTCAGGACCCCCGCCCCCCGAGCCCACCTCCTTGGGCCCCTCCCGGGCCCTGGGGCCCGGACCTGGACCCAGAACCTGGGGGAGGAGGGAGGAGCCCTGGAGCCCTGGGCGGGGGCGGGGGGCTGTGGGTCTGGCAAGGGGTCCAGGCTGTGAGCAGCAGAGGGCGGGGCAGGTCTGGGGCCTCAGCACCACCTGCCCGCTGGCCTGGGCCGGATGGAGGCAGGTGCTGCCCTCTAGACGGGGGCAGGAGGCCCGAAGCCGGGGCCTGGGGGCTGGGAAAGGCCCCAGCCGGGTCAGTGCCGAGCGAGGTCAGGCAGGGGCGGGGGCCGCCAAGCGTGCAGGACGGCGAGTGCTCGCACCGCATGGCCGGGCCGGGCCAGGCTGAGGGGCCAGGCCGGCCCCACGGCTCCGCGCTCCGGCAGGGGTCAGTGCCTGCCCTGACCGTGGTGGGAAGCACGGCTGGCCTCCGAGCATCTTCAAAGGAGCCCCTGCGGCCACGAGGCCCAGCCAGCGATGGGCAGGATGTGGCGGGGCCGGAGGCGGCAGCACCAGGGGGGCCTGAGACGCGAGCTGAGACGCCAACCCACCTAATCGCAACCTCAAGGCAGGGCGGCCCCAGGGTCACTGCCCCACTGGCCTCTGTGCCTCCCACCGCAGCCGGGACCACGGCCACGGGCAGCCATCGCCCCGAGACGCACTGTGGACAGGGACCAGCTTGGCGATGGGGTTGGGGGCCGGGGGGCGCAGGCAGGAACCGCCTGGAGCTGCTTCCAGCCCAGGATGGGTGGAGCGGGGGCAGGGGCAGGGGCAGGGGCGGGGGCAGGGGCGGGCCGCGGGGAGGGGCGGTCCCGCTCGGCTGCCCTGAGCACCGTCACCTTCCTGCCCCGCGGCCACTGTGACCCACGTCACAGGCCCTTCTCTGGCCCCAGTCACCTCAGGCCCAGGAATGTCTGGGGCTGGCGGGTCAGGGCAACTCTACCCCCTCTCGGGCCCCAGCCTCCCTGAGCGCCTGCAGAGCCAGGGGGACTCCAGCGGGAGACGGGAGGGCCGAGGGGAAAACGGGTGCAGCAGAGAGGGATCCCATCCCACAGAGCCCCCTGGCCGAGCTCCTCCCCACTCTCCCCTGCCCCTCTGAGCTCAGGGCGCCCCCTCACCTCCCCACCCCCTCCAGTGAGGTCAGGGCAGAAGCCCAGGAGTCCGGCCAGCCAGACCTGCCCAGAGCCAGCAGACCCACAGGCTCTGCCCTCACTCGGGCCCTCCTGCCGACCTGAGGGCCTGGCGCCTCCGGGTGTAGCGATGGGAGCCTGGTGGGCAGACCAGCAGATGCCCCAGGGCCAGAGGGCACCAGAGGGGCTAGTGTCCAGGGTGGAGGACCCACCCACCCTGAGGCCTAGCCCTCAGCCACAGGAAGCTCTCCAGGATCTCCCATCCTCCCAGCCCTCCGGCCCTGCTCACTGCCTGTGCCGTGTGTGTGCATGTGCATGTGCATGTGCCTGTGTGCGTGGGGAGGCCTCGGGAGCAGGGACTGCATGCCGCTGTGTCTCCTGCTCCCAGCAGGGGAAGCCCACAGCAGGTGCTCACTGCGTGCAGGGGCGGAACTGGTGAGCAAGTGAGCAAGTGCAGGAGTGAGCTCCGAACGGGAGACGGGGGCATGGAGGGCCCAGCGATGGGCTCAGGCCTGCTGCCAGCGCTGTGGCTGCCCAGCCCTGGGCCTGCTCTCAGCCAGGCTGAGTCCCCGGGCAGGCTGTGCCCTGGGGCACTGACATGGGCCCTGTCCATGCAGGTCTGGATGACACCTCCTTTGCCCACCTGGGACCCCAGGGGCTGAAGGACTCCCCACAGCCAGGTGAGGACCACAGGGCACCGTGGTCTGGACTTTCCACGGGGACATCCAGCCACAGGGGCCTGGGAGCCCAGCTTGTGCTGGGGCCTGGGGGGCGGGGCTGCTGGCAGCGGCTGGCTGTCCCGTGAGGCTCGGAGGGCCTGAAACTTGGGAGGTCCAGCATGGGGACCCAGAACCCCGAGACCCACGGCTCCCTCCACAGCGGCCGGCCGGGCCTGGTGCTCCACGTGGGGGTCCGGCCACTTCTCCACCTTCGACGGCCACGTGTATGACTTCGAGGGGACCTGCAACTACGTCTTCGCGGCCATCTGCCAGGACGCCTCCGCCCCCACCTTCAGCGTCCAGCTGCGGCGAGAGCCCGGCGGGAACATCTCCCGCATCATCGTGGAGCTGGGGGCCTCGGTGGTCACGGTGCAGGAGGGGGCCATCTCCATCAAGGACGTGGGGTTGGTCGGGGACCAGGGCCGGGGCCGGGTGGTTACAGGGCCAAGGGAATGGCCAGGGTGGAGGGCAGCCGCTGACCGCTCCCCCTGCAGAGCCGTCAGCCTGCCCTACACCAGCAACGGGCTGCAGATCACTCCCTTCGGCCAGAGCATGCGGCTGGTGGCCAAGCAGCTGGAGCTGGAGCTGGTGGTGCTGTGGGGCCCCGGTGCCCACCTCACGGTGAGGACGCAGTGGGGGCTGCACCTGTGCAGGTGCTGGTGGGCTGGACTGGGGCTGTCCCCGGAGGGAGGGCCCTGACCGTCCCCCAGCTCTCAGCTCGGCCGACACCAGTCAGGAGCCCGCATGGCCTGGGCTTTGCTGGAGGCTGTTTCCCCATTTGGAAGTGAGGACCATCCAGCAAGTAAAGAGGTCCCGGGAGGGAGGGCGGTCACAACCTATTGGGTGAGGCATCGGCGGGCTCTGCATCTGGGCGAGGGGTCCCTGGCCCTGGGAGCCCTGCCCGCTCACCCCGTGTGCCGACCCCGCCCTCACCCACAGGTCCTGGTGGAGGACAGGCACAAGGGCAGGATGTGCGGGCTCTGCGGGAACTTTGACGGCGAGAAGACCAACGAGTTTCTGAGCGAGGACGGTAGGTGGGGGCGGGCGGGGCCCCCTGCGCCCAGCCCGGGTGCTGACCCTGCGCCCCGCCCCCCGCAGGCACGCATCTGGAGCCCCACAAGTACGCGGCCCTCCAGAAGCTGGACGACCCCAACGAGATCTGCACCCACGAGGCCATCCCCGGCCCCCGGGTCCCGCAGGCAGAGCATGTATGTCAGGGCGGGGCCCGCGCAGCCTTCCAGGTGGAAGCACGGGGTGGGGGGCCCAGCTGCTCCCCGTGACCCACGGCCCTCCGCCCAGGCCCGGACCTGCGCCCAGCTGCTGGCCCTGGTGGCCCCCGAGTGCGACGTGCCCAAGGAGCCCTTTGTGCAGAGCTGCCAGGCCGACCTGGCCGCGTGTGCCGAGCCAGGCCAGCAGAGCTGCGCCTGCGCCACGCTCTCCGAGTACTCGCGCCACTGCAGCCTCGCCGGCCAGCCCGTCAGCCGCTGGCGGAGGCCCGGCCTCTGCTGTGAGTCCTGGAGGCTGCGGGAGGGCCGGGGACAGGAGGCCTGGGGGTGAGGGGTTGGGGGAGCGGGCCCAGGGCTCGCCGCCTGCTCACCAGGCCCATGTGCACACAGCGCTGGGCCAGTGCCCGGCCAACCAGGTGTACCAGGAGTGCGGCGAGGCCTGCGTCAAGACCTGCTCCCACCCACAGCACAGCTGTGCCCACTCCTGCACCTTCGGCTGCTTCTGCCCGGAAGGTGGCGCGCCTCTCCCCTCGGACCCTCCCGACGAGCCCCCGCCCGCCCAGCCTGTGGCCCCACAGGGCTCCCTGGGCCACGACCCCTGCCAGGGGCTACCCACGGGGCAGGGGGTATCCCCGTGGGGGTGGGCCCTGGGCGGGGGCCTGTTGGCATGCGGGGACAGAAGGCTGAGCGTGCAGCCCGCACGGACTGGGGGTGTGCGGGGGGACAAGCCCTCCAGGGGCACAGGCCGGGAGGCCCCAGGAGGGGAGGGTCCTCCACACACAGCCCCAGGAAGCTTCTGCCTGCAGGTCTGGTTCTCGATGACATTTCCAAAAACCGCACCTGCGTGCCCGTCGCCCAGTGCCCCTGCACGCTCAGCGGTGTGGCCTACGCCCCCGGGGCGGTCACTGCCGACGCCTGCCGCTCCTGGTGAGGACAGGGGCATGGGGCATGGGGGGGTCAGGGGTCAGGGGCGAGGCAGCCAGCTCTGCTGGCCCAGAACACCCTGGGGCGCCCCCACCACTCTGGGCCCCCTCCCGCCCCCAGCCAGTGCACCATGGGGAGCTGGAAGTGCGAAGAGCGGCCCTGCCCCCAGCCCTGCGCCCTGGAAGGCGGCTCCTTTGTGACCACGTTCGACGCCAGGCCCTACCGCTTCCACGGCACCTGCACCTACATCCTCCTCCAGGTGGGAGGCCCGCCCCGAGGGGGCCCCACGGGGTGGGGGCCTCACAAGGGGTCCCGCCAGGAGGGGTCCCCACCAGTCCCCTGACCTCCGTGCTTCCTGTCCTCCCTAGAGCCCCCAGCTCCCAGACGGGGGCTCCCTCTTGGCCGCCTACGACAAGTCTGGGTACTCGCATTCGGAGACCTCCTTGGTCGCCCTCATCTACATGAACAGCCAGGTAAGGCCGCCCCGTCTGCCGCCACTGCGTCCGCCTAGCCCGAGGCCAGGGTCCCTGCCTCGGCCCAGCCACCCGGCCGGCCCACGGTGACTCAGCGCCCTCCCTCCAGGACAAGATCCTGATTACCCAGGACGAGGTGGTCGCCAACGAAGATGCCAAGTCGCTGCCATACAAGACCGGTAGGTCGCAGCCCCTGCCTGCACCCCGGGGGCGGAGCCCAGTGCGGCCGCCTGCTGAGCCTCTGTCCCGCAGGCAACATCACGGTCTTCAGGCAGACGTCCACCCACCTGCAGATGGCCACCACCTTCGGGCTGGACCTGGTGGTGCAGCTGCAGCCCACGTTCCAGGCCTACATCACCGTGGGGCCGCAGTTCAGAGGCCAGACCCGCGGTGAGTGCCCGCCCGGCCTGCCCTCCCAGGACATGAAGGGGCCCCCCAGGCCTGGACCATCCCCCAGCGGTGCGGCCAGTGCTGGCCTCCTGCCCGGGCACGGTTAGGGGCCGCGGGGCCGGACTGGGCTGCGGGATGCCCACCCTCACGGCCTGCCTGGCTCAGGGCTCTGCGGCAACTTCAACGGGGACACGACAGACGACTTCATGACCAGCACGGGCATCGCCGAGGGCACGGCCACGCTGTTCGTGGACTCCTGGCGCGCAGGGAACTGCCCGGCCGCCATGCAGCGCGAGACCGACCCCTGCTCCATGAGCCAGCTCAACAGTGAGTGCCGCCGAGGGCTGGGGCGGGCGGGCGGGAACCAGGCTGGGGCGCGGCTCACGGGCCTGTCCCCCAGAGGTGTGCGCGGAGACCCACTGTGCGGTGCTGGTGGATAAGGGCACGGTCTTCGAGAGGTGCCACGCTGCGGTGAACCCCAAGCCCTTCTACAGGGTAGGCGGGGCTTGCACAGGGCCAGGAGGGCTGCGGGGTGGGGCATGTCGGGGACAGGGTGTGGATGGCGGGCGCCTACGCTGCTGTCTGCCCGCAGAGGTGCGTGTACCAGGCCTGCAACTACGAGGAGACCTTCCTGCACATCTGCTCCGCGCTGGGGGACTACGCCCACGCCTGCGCCTCCAAGGGCGTCCTGCTCAGGGGCTGGAGGAGCAGCGTCGACAACTGCAGTGCGTGCTGCCAGGCGGCAGGGGCGGCGGGAGCCGGGGGTCCTGCGGAGGGTGGGGCTGTGACCGGGTTGGGCCGAGCTCTGCCCAGCCATCCTGACGCCGGACTCCCCGCAGCCATCCCCTGCACTGGCAACCAGACCTACAGCTACGACAGCCGGGCCTGCGGCCGCACCTGCCTCTCCCTGTCCGACCACGCCGGCGAGTGCCACCCCAGTGCCGTGCCCATGGAAGGCTGCAACTGCCCCGAGGGCACCTACCTCAACCACAGAGCCGAGTGCGTGCGCAAGGCCCAGTGCCCCTGCCTCCTGGACAACAACAAGCTCATCCTAGCCGGCCAGTCCACTGTGGTCGAGGGCGACATCTGGTGCGTGAGGGTCCGGGTGGCAGCCCCGCCCCTGCAGCCGCGCCCCGGGCCGGCCACCCGCTCACACGGCCTCTCTTGCAGCTACTGTTCCAACGGGCGGCTCAGCTGCCCTGGGCGGCCGCCAATGCTCCTGGGTACGTAGCACAGCGGGGCAGCGACCTGGACCGCGCAGGGACCTGGCCTCCACTGAGCCCGCCTCACCAGCCCTTCCCCCTTCCCCCTTCCCGCTTCCCTGCAGCATCCTGCTCGGCCTCCAAGACGTACCAATCCTGCAGCCAATCCTCAAGGAACAAGTTTGGGGCGGCCTGTGCGCCCACATGCCAGATGCTGGCTACGGGCATCCCTTGTGTAAGGCGGGGGAGGGCGAGGACAGGTCTCCCCCAGCCGCTCTGGGCCATGGGCGGAAGCCCAGAATCCTCAGGAGGGGCTCTGCCCCCAACCCTGTCCATGGAGGCGTGGCCAGTGGGGCTGGGAGGCCCTGCAGCTGGAGGGCAGTGTGCTTAGTCTGGGGGGTTCCCTGAGGGAGGTGGGCTGGGGCCCCCAACTTGGGGGGGGGGGAGGGGGTACAGTAGGCCAGCCTGAGGCATGGAGGGACCTTTCCTGAGGGAGGGAGGGAGGGAGGGAGGGAGGCCCCAGCAGGTGGTGCAGGAGGGGTCTGGGAGGAGTGCAGGGGCAGAGTGTCCACAGGGCCACCCTCCCAGGGGCTACTGACCTCCACCCTGCAGATGCCCATCAAGTGCGAGCCCGGCTGTGTCTGTGCTGAGGGGCTCTACGAGAACGCCAGCGGGCAGTGCGTGCCCCCCGAGGAGTGCCCGTGCGAGTTTGGGGGGGTCTCCTACCCCCGGGGCGCCGAGCTAAACACCGACTGTAAGGCCTGGTAAGCCAGCCCCCTGCAGGCCCAGCACAGGCTGTCTGCAGGTCCATGGGGCTGGGAAGCCAGCCCCCTGCAGGCCCAGCACAGGCTGTCTGCAGGTCCATGGGGCTGGGAAGCCAGCCCCCTGCAGGCCCAGCACAGGCTGTCTGCAGGTCCTGTGGGCTGGGAAGCCAGCCCCCTGCAGGCCCAGCACAGGCTGTCTGCAGGTCCTGTGGGCTGGGAGGCCAGCCCCCTGCAGGCCCAGCACAGGCTGTCTGCAGGTCCTGTGGGCTGGGAGGCCAGCCCCCTGCAGGCCCAGCACAGGCTGTCTGCAGGTCCTGTGGGCTGGGAGGCCAGCCCCCTGCAGGCCCAGCACAGGCTGTCTGCAGGTCCTGTGGGCTGGGAGGCCAGCCCCCTGCAGGCCCAGCACAGGCTGTCTGCAGGTCCTGTGGGCTGGGAAGCCAGCCCCCTGCAGGCCCAGCACAGACTGTCTGCAGGTCCATGGGGCTGGGAAGCCAGCCCCCTGCAGGCCCAGCACAGGCTGTCTGCAGGTCCTGTGGGCTGGGAAGCCAGCCCCCTGCAGGCCCAGCACAGGCTGTCTGCAGGTCCTGTGGGCTGGGAGGCCAGCCCCCTGCAGGCCCAGCACAGGCTGTCTGCAGGTCCATGGGGCTGGGAAGCCAGCCCCCTGCAGGCCCAGCACAGGCTGTCTGCAGGTCTGTGGGGCTGGGAAGTCAGCCCCCTGCAGGGTGGGTGCGGCCGGGTCTCAGAACCCACAACTCCCTGCTCCTGGCAGCACCTGCTCGAGTGGGAAGTGGACGTGCCAGCAGAGTGCCCACTGCTCGTCCACCTGCACGCTCTATGGCGAGGGCCACGTGATCACCTTCGACGGGCAGCGCTTCCTGTTCGAGGGCAGCTGCGAGTACATCTTGGCCACGGTGAGGCCCTGGAGGGGAGGGGCCACGGAGCCACGAGGAGGCTCTGGGAGGACTGGGGTCCCTGGTGGCTCCTCCTCAGCGCCCCCTCCCCACAGGATGGCTGTGGCACCAATGACTCGCAGCCCACCTTCAAGATCCTGACGGAGAATGTCGTGTGTGGGAAACTGGGGGTCACCTGCTCCCGGGCCATCAGGATGTCCCTAGGGGTGAGTTGGCTGGTGGGTGTCCCCTCAAGGCAGCCACCCAGCGCCAGGTTTGGGCTGCTCTGTGCCACCAGCGCTTGCTGCCCCTGCTGCCTCGTCCACACAGCGGGCAGCAGGGTCCTGCTGCTGGATGTGGGGTGGGGAGTCTCCCAGAAGCCTGGCTCAGTCCTCGGCTCAGCGTCCATGACGTTCTGGAACCTCTCGCCGAATGCAGGCTCGAGAGGACAGGCCCCAGCCCAGACCTGGCCCTCAGCAGGCGCCGTCCAGCCGTGTCCCTAACGGCACCGTGCAAAAGTGCACGGATGGGAGCAGAGCTGGTGGCACTCAGCAGCCGCCCAGGCTTGGGGCTGGCAGCCTGGTAACAGCCCTGCCCCACAGGGCTTGTCCATCGTGCTGGCGGACGGGAACTACACGGTCAGCGGGACAGACCCCCAGGTGTACTTCCGGGTCAAGGCTGACTCCCTGTACCTGATAGTGGACGTCACCATCGGCAGCAGCTACAACCTGACCGTTAACTGGAACAAGCACATGGCCGTCTCCCTCAAGATCTCGCGAGCCTCGCAGGTACCACGCGCCACTGCCCAGGTCGCCGGGGCGGGGCAGCGCCCGCCGCCCCTCGGCCCGCCTTACACCAGCCCCCGCAGGACCCCCTGTGCGGCTTGTGCGGCAACTTCAACGGGAACATGAAGGACGACTTTGAGACGCGCAGCAAGTACGTGGTGTCCAGCGAGCTGGAGTTTGTGAACTCGTGGAAGGAGAGCCCGCTGTGCGGAGACGCCAGGCTCTCGGTGGACCCCTGCAGCCTCAACGCCTTCCACCACGCCTGGGCCGAGCGCAAGTGCAGCATCATCAACAGCCAGACCTTCGCCGCCTGCCACGGCCAGGTGAGCTGCGCGCGGGGTAGGCTGGGCGGGCGGGTGGACAGCAGACACTGAGGGCCGCTCCCGCAGGTGTACCGCCAGCCCTACTACGAGGCCTGTGTGCGCGACACCTGTGGGTGCGACATGAGTGGGAACTGTGAGTGCCTCTGCGACGCCGTGGCCGCCTACGCCAAGGCCTGCCTGGACAAGGGCGTGTGCGTGGACTGGAGGGGCCCCGACTTCTGCCGTGAGTATCCTGTGCCCCGCCGGGGCCCCAGCACCTCTCCCGGGTAGGCAGCAAGCTGTGCCCTGCAGAGGGACCCCGAGCCTCCCAGGCCCGGGCGAGGGGCTCACGGCCGCCTGACAGCCACCCATCCTCCCAGCCATCTACTGCGACTTCTACAACTCCCACACGCGGGCGGACGATGGCCAGTACCAGTACGCCCAGGAGACCAACTGCACGTGGCACTACCAGCCGTGCCTCTGCCCCCAGCAGCTGCAGAGCCTTCCATATACCAACATGGAAGGTATGGGCAAGGAGAGGGCGAGGTTGGGCCAGACGACAGGATGGTGGATGAGGGCCCAGCCTGGAGCCGGGGAATGGGACAGGCACAGTGCAGGGTGGCTGGGGACAGGGACAAGGGGGTACCTGCCTCTGCGGTTGGGTGGAGAGGCCAGGAGTGGCTGGGCCAGAGGGCAGGAACCACGCCTCCTGAAGAGGGGCTCCAGCTGAGGCTGCCTCTCTCGGCCCCGCCCCTAGGCTGCTACAACTGCTCCCAGGATGAGTACTTCGACCAGGACAAGGGGACGTGCGTGCAGTGCAGTAAGCTCAAGCTCAGGCCCAGCCCCCATGCCCGCCCAGCCCCCACAGCAGACCCCTGCACAAACCTCTGGCTACTTCTCCAGCACCCTGCTCCCCAGCTGTGCCCCTGAGGTGCTGGGACCTCCACGCCCCAGACAGCAAACACCAAGGGAAAACCATCAGGCTTCCCTCCCCAAATGCTGACAAACCCACACCCAGCCCCCAGCTGCAGGGCAACCCAGGCCCGGGCTCTGCCAGCCCACTGGGTATGTGGGTGGCAGCTGGCCTGGAGCTACCACAGGTGGGTGCTGGACAGCGCCCTGGCTGCTAGGCATCACCACGGTTCGGCAGTGGTGCTGGGAGAAGAGAAGGCCTGGGGTTGGGGGAGGACTGAGCAGGGACCTGCCTAGGGAGACCCTTGGAGGGGGGACAGGGAGGGGCGGCACGTGGCGACAGCACTGACCTCGCTTCCTCTTGCAGTGCTGCTGCCCACCACGCCGTCGCCGCCCACCACGCCGTCGCCGCCCACCACAGGTGATTGCGCACTCACTAGGTGCCAAGGTGAAGCAGTGCTCTCCCCGGGCTTGTCCCTGGTACCGTCAGCCCAGCCTGTGCCCATCCCTGCAGCCGCTGGCTGGCATGTGGGCAAGGCTGGAGTACACCTGGGCTGTCCTGGGCTGCCCCACATGGCGGGGACAAGCGGCGCTGACCAGGACAGCAGAGGGGAGGGGCATGGAAAGCATGGCTCGTGGCTGGACGGCCACTGTCACAGCCAGGCCAAAGGGATGGATGCTGCCTCAGCGGGGCACAGGCCTTCCCACCCTGTGCCTCCTGTCCGGCCCACCTGGGGCGGGGCTGCATGGCTCAGCAGCCAAGAGAGGGGGCTGCTCCCAAGCTTGCGCCCACAGTCACAGCCCTTCTGCCTTGCTCAGGCTCGCCCTCCACAGAAGCCAGGCCTACCTCGGCCACCCCCAACGTCACAGCCACCCCCGGAACCACGGGGCCCCTCAGCTCCACGGCCCCCTCCTCCGCACAGACAGGGGCAGCCCCGACCATGCAGCCAGAACCCACCGTCTCCTCGGGAGGTGAGGCCCGGGGGGGCGGGAACGCGTGACGACCTGACACGCTCGCTGGGGTGCGGGAGGGCAGCAGATGCTTGGCACAGAAGCGGGACTGAGGACAAGCTGCGGGAGGGGGGGGGAGGGGCGGATCGTAGCTGCCTGGCACTGTCACTGAGAAGCATGTGGGACCAGCGGGCGCAGGGAGCACAGGCCAGCCCCCCATGAGCCCACACAGCAGCCCCGGGCCAGGCCAGGGACTCTGAGGGGACATGTCAGGGTCCTGCTAGGAAGGGTAGGTGAGGGACCAGCCAGCGGCCCAGTGAGCCTGTGGCCACTACAAAGGCACTGAGGCCCCGAGGCAAGGTCGGCTGAGGAAGGACGTGAGTGTCGGCCAGGGGGAAGCACGCCATTCTCGAGGGGGCTCAGGGCGACCCTGGCCAGGCTCCTGGGGCACAGAGGGCAGGGAAAGGGGCGGGCAGAGGGTCCAGTGGGATGTGCTGGGCCCTGTTCCCTGCAGAGTCACCTCGGACGACCTCGGCCATCACCACACGAGCCACGTCAGGGCCAGCTCCCACAGCCACTTCCAGGTCAACAGCCACGGGACCTACTGTGACTCGAGCTACTACACAACCCACCACATCCCTGCTCAGCACAGCCACGCAATCCACAGCTCGGTCCACAGTGCGCACCACGGCGGCCTGGCCAATGCCAACCACGCCAGGACTCGCCACGGGGTCCCCCCAAGGTAAGGCTACCCCACACAGGTCCCCACAGTGGGGAGACAGCTCAGGGCTCCGGCGCCCAGTACGGACTGCGGAGCTGCGTATACAAGCAGGCCACAGAGCCCTGGAGGGAACACCTCCAACAAATAGGGGGGCCGCAGGGCAGCCAGCCCAGCACCAGCCTGAGCCTACAGCTAACCACGTGCTCTCTGCAACACTCCCTGCCACAGTGCCGACACACCTGCCCACCACGGCTGCCCCCACGCCAGGTGAGGACAGGGCCCTGGCGACCCAAGAGGTCTAGAGGGCAGTGAACAGGTCTGAAATCAGGGCCACACGTCAAAATTCCAGAAAGATCCCCACAGGAAAGAGCCCATCAGTACTGGAAGCCCATCACAGCCACACTGAGTGAGGGGGGAAGAGAGGGGCCTAAAAAGGAACACAAACGGTACAACCAAAGAGCAGAGTCAGGAAAACAAGGGACTGCTAGGTGCAGGGGAAGCCTGGCGGGAGAGAATGAGCAGCAGCAGATGGCAGACCACATCCCGGGCACAGATGACACAACTACCAATTAACGGGTCACACTTTCCACAGGCCACTCGACACCGCACCAACCCGAAGGAACCACCATAGGATCACCAGGGAGCACCTCCAGCCACAGCACAGGACACACAAGGCCAGAGACCAGGTCAACCTGGGCCACACCCACAGGGCCACACACTCCCCTCGCTTCTCACACCGCACCCACTGGTTCCGTGTCCACCACCTCCCACATGACAGGTCCGCCATCAGGAATATCATTCCGCACAACCACCACCTTCCCGACCTCATCTCCATCCAACACCACTCAATCCACCCAGGTCCCCAGCTCTGCCACCTCCTCTGTCACTCCCACTTCTCACACAGTGGTCACCCCAACACAACCACACACCCATTCTGCTTACATCTCTACCGCAAGGCCAACAGGCTCTTCTCCATCATCGACACACGGCCCTACCACGGGCACAGGGCTCCCACCCTCTACACCGCCGTGGGCCACGGCCACAAGAGGGACCACCCAGGCCCCTCACTCTACCGACACAGCCAAGACCACCACCTCCCTGGTGTCACACCCATCCGCACCTGCCCTCTCTGGGACCACATCCCCTCCACGCACCTCCATGTTCCCCAAGACCACCGGTGGAGGCACCGGGAGCCCGGGGCCACACACTGCCACGGCCACACCCAACGGCCCACACACTCCCCTCACATCTCACTCCGCCCCCACTGGTTCTGTGTCCACCACCTCCCACATTACAGGTCCGCCATCAGGAATATCATTCCGCACCACCACCACCTTCCCGACCTCATCTCCATCCAACACCACTCAATCAACCCAGGTCCCCAGCTCGGCCACCTCCTCTGTCACTCCCACTTCTCACACAGAGGTCACCCCAACACAACCACACACCCATTCTCCTTACATCTCTAGCGCAAGGCCAACAGGCTCCTCACCATCGACACACGGCCCTGCCACGGGAACAGTGCTCCCACCCTCCACACCGCCATGGACCACAGCCACAAGAGGGACCACCCAGGCCCCTCACTCTGCCGGCACAGCCAAGACCACCACCTCCCTGGTGTCACACCCATCCTCACCTGCACTCTCTGGGACCACATCCCCTCCACGCACCTCCATGTTCCCCAAGACCACCGGTGCAGGCACCGGGAGCCCGGGGCCACACACTGCCACAGCCACACCCAACGGCCCACACACTCCCCTCACTTCTCACTCAACCCCCACTGGTTCCGTGTCCACCACCTCCCACATTACAGGTCCGCCATCAGGAATATCATTCCGCACCACCACCACCTTCCCAACCTCATCTCCATCCAACACCACTCAATCCACCCAGGTCCCCAACTCTGCCACCTCCTCTGTCACTCCCACTTCTCACACAGTGGTCACCCCAACACAACCACACACCCATTCTCCTTACATCTCTAGCGCAAGGCCAACAGGCTCCTCACCATCGACACACGGCCCTGCCACGGGAACAGTGCTCCCACCCTCCACACCGCCGTGGTCCACGGCCACAAGAGGGACCACCCAGGCCCCTCACTCTGCCGGCACAGCCAAGACCACCACCTCCCTGGTGTCACACCCATCCACACCTGCCCTCTCTGGGACCACATCCCCTCCACGCACCTCCATGTTCCCCAAGACCACCGGTGCAGGCACCGGGAGCCCGGGGCCACACACTGCCACAGCCACACCCAACGGCCCACACACTCCCCTCACTTCTCACTCAACCCCCACTGGTTCCGTGTCCACCACCTCCCACATTACAGGTCCGCCATCAGGAATATCATTCCGCACCACCACCACCTTCCCAACCTCATCTCCATCCAACACCACTCAATCAACCCAGGTCCCCAACTCTGCCACCTCCTCTGTCACTCCCACTTCTCACACAGTGGTCACCCCAACACAACCACACACCCATTCTCCTTACATCTCTAGCGCAAGGCCAACAGGCTCCTCACCATCGACACACGGCCCTGCCACGGGAACAGTGCTCCCACCCTCCACACCGCCGTGGTCCACGGCCACAAGAGGGACCACCCAGGCCCCTCACTCTGCCGGCACAGCCAAGACCACCACCTCCCTGGTGTCACACCCATCCACACCTGCCCTCTCTGGGACCACATCCCCTCCACGCACCTCCATGTTCCCCAAGACCACCGGTGGAGGCACCAAGAGCCCTGGGCCACACACTGCCACGGCAACACCCAACAGCCCACACACTCCCCTCACTTCTCACTCAGCCCTCACTGGTTCCGTGTCCACCACCTCCCACATTACAGGTCCACCATCAGGAATATCATTCCGCACAACCACCACCTTCCCAACCTCATCTCCATCCAACACCACTCAATCAACCCAGGTCCCCAGCTCTGCCACCTCCTCTGTCACTCCCACTTCTCACATAGTGGTCACCCCAACACAACCACACACCCACTCTCCTTACATCTCTACCGCAAGGCCAACAGGCTCCTCTCCATCATCGACACACGGCCCTGCCACGGGAACAGTGCTCCCACCCTCCACACCGCCGTGGGCCACGGCCACAAGAGAAACCACCCAAGCCCCTCACTCTACCGACACAGCCAAGACCACCACCTCCCTGGTGTCACACCCATCCGCACCTGCCCTCTCTGGGACCACATCCCCTCCACGCACCTCCATGTTCCCCAAGACCACCGGTGGAGGCACCGGGAGTCCGGGGCCACACACTGCCACGGCCACACCCAACGGCCCACACACTCCCCTCACATCTCACTCCGCCCCCACTGGTTCTGTGTCCACCACCTCCCACATTACAGGTCCGCCATCAGGAATATCATTCCGCACCACCACCACCTTCCCGACCTCATCTCCATCCAACACCACTCAATCAACCCAGGTCCCCAACTCTGCCACCTCCTCTGTCACTCCCACTTCTCACACAGTGGTCACCCCAACACAACCACACACCCATTCTCCTTACATCTCTAGCGCAAGGCCAACAGGCTCCTCACCATCGACACACGGCCCTGCCACGGGAACAGTGCTCCCACCCTCCACACCGCCATGGGCCACAGCCACAAGAGGGACCACCCAGGCCCCTCACTCTGCCGGCACAGCCAAGACCACCACCTCCCTGGTGTCACACCCATCCACACCTGCCCTCTCTGGGACCACATCCCCTCCACGCACCTCCATGTTCCCCAAGACCACCGGTGGAGGCACCAAGAGCCCTGGGCCACACACTGCCACGGCAACACCCAACAGCCCACACACTCCCCTCACTTCTCACTCAGCCCTCACTGGTTCCGTGTCCACCACCTCCCACATTACAGGTCCACCATCAGGAATATCATTCCGCACAACCACCACCTTCCCAACCTCATCTCCATCCAACACCACTCAATCAACCCAGGTCCCCAGCTCTGCCACCTCCTCTGTCACTCCCACTTCTCACATAGTGGTCACCCCAACACAACCACACACCCACTCTCCTTACATCTCTACCACAAGGCCAACAGGCTCCTCTCCATCATCGACACACGGCCCTGCCACGGGAACAGTGCTCCCACCCTCCACACCGCCGTGGGCCACGGCCACAAGAGAAACCACCCAAGCCCCTCACTCTACCGACACAGCCAAGACCACCACCTCCCTGGTGTCACACCCATCCGCACCTGCCCTCTCTGGGACCACATCCCCTCCACGCACCTCCATGTTCCCCAAGACCACCGGTGGAGGCACCGGGAGTCCGGGGCCACACACTGCCACGGCCACACCCAACGGCCCACACACTCCCCTCACATCTCACTCCGCCCCCACTGGTTCTGTGTCCACCACCTCCCACATTACAGGTCCGCCATCAGGAATATCATTCCGCACCACCACCACCTTCCCGACCTCATCTCCATCCAACACCACTCAATCCACCCAGGTCCCCAACTCTGCGACCTCCTCTGTCACTCCCACTTCTCACACAGTGGTCACCCCAACACAACCACACACCCATTCTCCTTACATCTCTAGCGCAAGGCCAACAGGCTCCTCACCATCGACACACGGCCCTGCCACGGGAACAGTGCTCCCACCCTCCACACCGCCGTGGGCCACGGCCACAAGAGGGACCACCCAGGCCCCTCACTCTGCCGGCACAGCCAAGACCACCACCTCCCTGGTGTCACACCCATCCGCACCTGCCCTCTCTGGGACCACATCCCCTCCACGCACCTCCATGTTCCCCAAGACCACCGGTGCAGGCACCGGGAGCCCGGGGCCACACACTGCCACAGCCACACCCAATGGCCCACACACTCCCCTCACTTCTCACTCAACCCCCACTGGTTCCGTGTCCACCACCTCCCACATTACAGGTCCGCCATCAGGAATATCATTCCGCACCACCACCACCTTCCCAACCTCATCTCCATCCAACACCACTCAATCCACCCAGGTCCCCAACTCTGCGACCTCCTCTGTCACTCCCACTTCTCACACAGTGGTCACCCCAACACAACCACACACCCATTCTCCTTACATCTCTAGCGCAAGGCCAACAGGCTCCTCACCATCGACACACGGCCCTGCCACGGGAACAGTGCTCCCACCCTCCACACCGCCGTGGTCCACGGCCACAAGAGGGACCACCCAGGCCCCTCACTCTGCCGGCACAGCCAAGACCACCACCTCCCTGGTGTCACACCCATCCACACCTGCCCTCTCTGGGACCACATCCCCTCCACGCACCTCCATGTTCCCCAAGACCACCGGTGGAGGCACCAAGAGCCCTGGGCCACACACTGCCACGGCAACACCCAACAGCCCACACACTCCCCTCACTTCTCACTCAGCCCTCACTGGTTCCGTGTCCACCACCTCCCACATTACAGGTCCACCATCAGGAATATCATTCCGCACAACCACCACCTTCCCAACCTCATCTCCATCCAACACCACTCAATCAACCCAGGTCCCCAGCTCTGCCACCTCCTCTGTCACTCCCACTTCTCACATAGTGGTCACCCCAACACAACCACACACCCACTCTCCTTACATCTCTACCGCAAGGCCAACAGGCTCCTCACCATCGACACACGGCCCTGCCACGGGAACAGTGCTCCCACCCTCCACACCGCCGTGGGCCACGGCCACAAGAGAAACCACCCAAGCCCCTCACTCTACCGACACAGCCAAGACCACCACCTCCCTGGTGTCACACCCATCCGCACCTGCCCTCTCTGGGACCACATCCCCTCCACGCACCTCCATGTTCCCCAAGACCACCGGTGGAGGCACCGGGAGTCCGGGGCCACACACTGCCACGGCCACACCCAACGGCCCACACACTCCCCTCACATCTCACTCCGCCCCCACTGGTTCTGTGTCCACCACCTCCCACATTACAGGTCCGCCATCAGGAATATCATTCCGCACCACCACCACCTTCCCGACCTCATCTCCATCCAACACCACTCAATCAACCCAGGTCCCCAACTCTGCCACCTCCTCTGTCACTCCCACTTCTCACACAGTGGTCACCCCAACACAACCACACACCCATTCTCCTTACATCTCTACCGCAAGGCCAACAGGCTCCTCTCCATCATCGACACACGGCCCTGCCACGGGAACAGTGCTCCCACCCTCCACACCGCCGTGGGCCACGGCCACAAGAGAAACCACCCAAGCCCCTCACTCTACCGACACAGCCAAGACCACCACCTCCCTGGTGTCACACCCATCCGCACCTGCCCTCTCTGGGACCACATCCCCTCCACGCACCTCCATGTTCCCCAAGACCACCGGTGGAGGCACCGGGAGTCCGGGGCCACACACTGCCACGGCCACACCCAACGGCCCACACACTCCCCTCACATCTCACTCCGCCCCCACTGGTTCTGTGTCCACCACCTCCCACATTACAGGTCCGCCATCAGGAATATCATTCCGCACCACCACCACCTTCCCGACCTCATCTCCATCCAACACCACTCAATCCACCCAGGTCCCCAACTCTGCGACCTCCTCTGTCACTCCCACTTCTCACACAGTGGTCACCCCAACACAACCACACACCCATTCTCCTTACATCTCTAGCGCAAGGCCAACAGGCTCCTCACCATCGACACACGGCCCTGCCACGGGAACAGTGCTCCCACCCTCCACACCGCCGTGGGCCACGGCCACAAGAGGGACCACCCAGGCCCCTCACTCTGCCGGCACAGCCAAGACCACCACCTCCCTGGTGTCACACCCATCCGCACCTGCCCTCTCTGGGACCACATCCCCTCCACGCACCTCCATGTTCCCCAAGACCACCGGTGCAGGCACCGGGAGCCCGGGGCCACACACTGCCACAACCACACCCAACGGCCCACACACTCCCCTCACTTCTCACTCAACCCCCACTGGTTCCGTGTCCACCACCTCCCACATTACAGGTCCGCCATCAGGAATATCATTCCGCACCACCACCACCTTCCCAACCTCATCTCCATCCAACACCACTCAATCAACCCAGGTCCCCAACTCTGCCACCTCCTCTGTCACTCCCACTTCTCACACAGTGGTCACCCCAACACAACCACACACCCATTCTCCTTACATCTCTAGCGCAAGGCCAACAGGCTCCTCACCATCGACACACGGCCCTGCCACGGGAACAGTGCTCCCACCCTCTACACCGCCGTGGGCCACGGCCACAAGAGGGACCACCCAGGCCCCTCACTCTGCCGGCACAGCCAAGACCACCACCTCCCTGGTGTCACACCCATCCGCACCTGCCCTCTCTGGGACCACATCCCCTCCACGCACCTCCATGTTCCCCAAGACCACCGGTGGAGGCACCAAGAGCCCTGGGCCACACACTGCCACGGCAACACCCAACAGCCCACACACTCCCCTCACTTCTCACTCAGCCCTCACTGGTTCCGTGTCCACCACCTCCCACATTACAGGTCCACCATCAGGAATATCATTCCGCACAACCACCACCTTCCCAACCTCATCTCCATCCAACACCACTCAATCAACCCAGGTCCCCAGCTCTGCCACCTCCTCTGTCACTCCCACTTCTCACATAGTGGTCACCCCAACACAACCACACACCCACTCTCCTTACATCTCTACCGCAAGGCCAACAGGCTCCTCTCCATCATCGACACACGGCCCTGCCACGGGAACAGTGCTCCCACCCTCCACACCGCCGTGGGCCACGGCCACAAGAGAAACCACCCAAGCCCCTCACTCTACCGACACAGCCAAGACCACCACCTCCCTGGTGTCACACCCATCCGCACCTGCCCTCTCTGGGACCACATCCCCTCCACGCACCTCCATGTTCCCCAAGACCACCGGTGGAGGCACCGGGAGTCCGGGGCCACACACTGCCACGGCCACACCCAACGGCCCACACACTCCCCTCACATCTCACTCCGCCCCCACTGGTTCTGTGTCCACCACCTCCCACATTACAGGTCCGCCATCAGGAATATCATTCCGCACCACCACCACCTTCCCGACCTCATCTCCATCCAACACCACTCAATCCACCCAGGTCCCCAGCTCTGCCACCTCCTCTGTCACTCCCACTTCTCACACAGTGGTCACCCCAACACAACCACACACCCATTCTCCTTACATCTCTACCGCAAGGCCAACAGGCTCCTCACCATCGACACACGGCCCTGCCACGGGCACAGTGCTCCCACCCTCCACACCGCCATGGACCACAGCCACAAGAGGGACCACCCAGGCCCCTCACTCTGCCGGCACAGCCAAGACCACCACCTCCCTGGTGTCACACCCATCCACACCTGCCCTCTCTGGGACCACATCCCCTCCACGCACCTCCATGTTCCCCAAGACCACCGGTGGAGGCACCAAGAGCACTGGGCCACACACTGCCACGGCAACACCCAACAGCCCACACACTCCCCTCACTTCTCACTCAGCCCTCACTGGTTCCGTGTCCACCACCTCCCACATTACAGGTCCACCATCAGGAATATCATTCCGCACAACCACCACCTTCCCAACCTCATCTCCATCCAACACCACTCAATCAACCCAGGTCCCCAGCTCTGCCACCTCCTCTGTCACTCCCACTTCTCACATAGTGGTCACCCCAACACAACCACACACCCACTCTCCTTACATCTCTACCGCAAGGCCAACAGGCTCCTCTCCATCATCGACACACGGCCCTGCCACGGGAACAGTGCTCCCACCCTCCACACCGCCGTGGGCCACGGCCACAAGAGAAACCACCCAAGCCCCTCACTCTACCTACACAGCCAAGACCACCACCTCCCTGGTGTCACACCCATCCACACCTGCCTTCTCTGGGACCACATCCCCTCCACGCACCTCCATGTTCCCCAAGACCACCGGTGGAGGCACCGGGAGTCCGGGGCCACACACTGCCACAGCCACACCCAACAGCCCACACACTCCCCTCACTTCTCACTCCGCCCCCACTGGTTCTGTATCCACCACTTCCCACATTACAGGTCCGCCATCAGGAATATCATTCCGCACCACCACCACCTTCCCAACCTCATCTCCATCCAACACCACTCAATCAACCCAGGTCCCCAACTCTGCCACCTCCTCTGTCACTCCCACTTCTCACACAGTGGTCACCCCAACACAACCACACACCCATTCTCCTTACATCTCTAGCGCAAGGCCAACAGGCTCCTCACCATCATCTACACACAGCCCTGCCACGGGCACAGTGCTCCCACCCTCCACACCACAATGGGCCACGGCCACAAAAGGGACCACCGAAGCACCTCACTCTGCTGGCACAGCCAAGACCACCACCTCCCTGGTGTCACACCCATCCGCACCTGCCCTCTCTGGGACCACATCCCCTCCACGCACCTCCATGTTCCCCAAGACCACCGGTGGAGGCACCAAGAGCCCTGGGCCACACACTGCCACGGCAACACCCAACAGCCCACACACTCCCCTCACTTCTCACTCAGCCCTCACTGGTTCCGTGTCCACCACCTCCCACATTACAGGTCCGCCATCAGGAATATCATTCCGCACAACCACCACCTTCCCAACCTCATCTCCATCCAACACCACTCAATCAACCCAGGTCCCCAGCTCTGCCACCTCCTCTGTCACTCCCACTTCTCACATAGTGGTCACCCCAACACAACCACACACCCACTCTCCTTACATCTCTACCGCAAGGCCAACAGGCTCCTCTCCATCATCGACACACGGCCCTGCCACGGGAACAGTGCTCCCACCCTCCACACCGCCGTGGGCCACAGCCAAAACAGGGACTACGCAAGACCCTAACTCTGCCAGCACAGCCAAGATCACAACCTCACTGGTGTCACACCCATCCGCACCTTCCCTCTCTGGGACCACATCCCCTCCACGCACCACCATGTTCCCTAAGACCACTGGTGCAGGCACCGGGAGCCCGGGGCCACACACTGCCACGGCCACACCCAACGGCCCACACACTCCCCTCACTTCTCATTCCGCCCCCACTGGTTCCGTATCCACCACTTCCCACATTACAGGTCCCCCATCAGGAATATCATTCCACACCACCACCACCTTCCCAACCTCATCTCCATCCAACACCACTCAATCCACCCAGGCCCCCAGCTCTGCCACCTCCTCTGTCACTCCCACTTCTCACACAGTGGTCACCCCAACACAACCACACACCCATTCTCCTTACATCTCTAGCGCAAGGCCAACAGGCTCCTCTCCATCAGCGACACACGGCCCTGCCACGGGCACAGTGCTCCCACCCTCCACACCGCCGTTGGCCACGGCCACAAGAGAAACCACCCAAGCCCCTCACTCTACCTACACAGCCAAGACCACCACCTCCCTGGTGTCACACCCATCCACACCTGCCTTCTCTGGGACCACATCCCCTCCACGCACCTCCATGTTCCCCAAGACCACCGGTGGAGGCACCGGGAGTCCGGGGCCACACACTGCCACGGCCACACCCAACGGCCCACACACTCCCCTCACTTCTCACTCCGCCCCAACTGGTTCCGTATCCACCACTTCCCACATTACAGGTCCGCCATCAGGAATATCATTCCGCACAACCACCACCTTCCCGACATCATCTCCATCCAACACCACTCAATCAACCCAGGTCCCCAACTCTGCCACCTCCTCTGTCACTCCCACTTCTCACACAGTGGTCACCCCAACACAACCACACACCCATTCTCCTTACATCTCTAGCGCAAGGCCAACAGGCTCCTCACCATCATCGACACACGGCCCTGCCACGGGCACAGTGCTCCCACCCTCCACACCGCCGTGGGCCACGGCCACAAGAGAAACCACCCAAGCTCCTCACTCTACCGACACAGCCAAGACCACCACCTCCCTGGTGTCACACCCATCCGCACCTGCCCTCTCTGGGACCACATCCCCTCCACGCACCTCCATGTTCCCCAAGACCACCGGTGTAGGCACCGGGAGCCTGGGGCCACACACTGCCACAGCCACACCCAACGGCCCACACACTCCCCTCACTTCTCACTCCACCCCCACTGGTTCCGTGTCCACCACCTCCCACATTACAGGTCCGCCATCAGGAATATCATTCCGCACAACCACCACCTTCCCGACCCCATCTCCATCCAACACCACTCAATCCACCCAGGTCCCCAGCTCTGCCACCTCCTCTGTCACTCCCACTTCTCACATAGTGGTCACCCCAACACAACCACACACCCATTCTCCTTACATCTCTAGCGCAAGGCCAACAGGCTCCTCTCCATCATCGACACACGGCCCTGCCACGGGAACAGTGCTCCCACCCTCCACACCGCCGTGGGCCACGGCCACAAGAGGGACCACCCAAGCCCCTCACTCTGCCGGCACAGCCAAGACCACCACCTCCCTGGTGTCACACCCATCCGCACCTGCCCTCTCTGGGACCACATCCCCTCCACGCACCTCCATGTTCCCCAAGACCACTGGTGGAGGCATCGGGAGCCCGGGGACACACACAGCCATGTCCTTGTCCACCCCCAACTGGCCACATACTCCTTTCACCTCTCACTTTGCTCCCATGAGTTCAGTCTCCACCACTTCACAGTCCACTTCTCTCACTACTCGAGTTCCTATGCCCAGCCTCATGTCATCCACGCTGGGGGTGACATCCATCCGAAGTTCTCCAGCCACGAACCTCACTACCAAGCATCCTGGAACCACTGGACTGCTTACCACAGTCTTCCTGGCCAGCTCCATCACTGCGCACAGAAGCTCCTCCTCCTCTACTCCCTGGTCCTCCACCTCTTCCCTCCTCACCTCCGGGCCCAGCTACTCCAGTAAGTGATGTCTCCACAGTCTCTCCAATGACCCTGTTGCACCGGATCCTCCTAGCCTTACCTCTCTACTGGGAAGCACTCTGGGACACCCTCACAGAGCCCCACCCCCCTTCTTGACCTGACATTGCCTGATGGCCACTTGGTCTTCTTCGTCCCCTCCCTTCTTTGTCCCCTCCCTTCTTTGTCCCCTCCCTTCTTTGCCCCCCCCCCTTACTCCCTTCACCCCGGCTTACTGCTGTGTGGCAGGTGGCAGCTTTTCTTCCTGCCCCAGAAGCCTTCCCCTCTTCTGGGTGGTGCACCAAGCTGGAGAGCCAGCTTAGCTTCTGACCAGGCGTATGCTCTGGGTGTCTCAAGCTGTGCCTTGGGAATTCTGGGTCTCATGTCCCCCAGCAGTTTCCCCATCCCTCTGCTCTGTCCTGTCCTATGCCTCATGTTCCCCCACCCTTGGGACGTTCTTAGCCCTCCTTGACAAGGTGTCAGTTCCTCTATCCCTCCTCCCCAGCATCCCCCTCCCTGCTCCCCAGCATCCCCCTCCCTCTCCCAGCATCCCCATCCCTCCTCCCCAGCATCCTCCTCCGTCCTCTCCAGGAACCTCTCCTGACAAACCCACAAGAGGAACCACCCAAGTCCCTCACTCTGTCAGCACGTGGCTGGAATGAGCACTTGGCCTTCCCTATTGATCCCTTCCCCCTGCCGTCCGGCCTTTCTTTGAGGAGACCCTCTGCTCAGCAGCCTTCCGCTGCCGTCACCTGTGGAGCTCAGAGGAGGTTCGGGCTGGCCTAGGTGCAAAGCTCATGGGTCCACTCAGGGACCACAGACCCTGCAGGAAGCTCCCATATGGTGACACTGATGTCCTCTCCTCGTCCCTCCCGCAGGTTCAGAGCCCAGCAAACCAGACACACCTATGCCCACAGGTAGGTATCAGCTGGGGGAGGGGGGGGGCTGAGGAGCAGCGTGGGATTCTGCCTCATCCCGAGACAGCCCTGGACCTTGGGGGAGACCAGCAGGCTTTATTCCCGGGGTGAGGACTGAGATCCGTGGGGCTGGGACAAGGAGAGACAGCACAGGTAGGGCCTAGGGAAGTGCCGCCGGCCCCCGTGGCCGTTTCCACACCTCCTGGCTCCTGGGGCATCACTCCCACCCACACAGAGGGCTTGAGGGGCCTAGGCCCAGAGCCCGCGGCCCGCCAGCGCCGCCTCCGGAGGACAGGGCAGGGCAGGGGTGCGGCACCGGCACTGGCTCTGGGCCGCGCCTCACTGCCTGCACTTCCAGAGGTCTGCCGGGTGCGGGAGCAGGAGGAGGAGGTCACTTACCAGGGGTGCACAGCCAACGTGACAGTGACCCGCTGCGAGGGAGTGTGCGCCTCCTCGGCCAGGTGAGCTGTCAGCGGCGTCTCCAGCCACTGCGGGCTCCGAGCTTGGAGCCGCCTCACGCCCCATAGGCTCCCAGGGGTGGTCGCAGGTCCAGCGGGATCTCCCGCTCCGTCTCAACCACCCTGAAGGCTGGCCCCGCCCCCCACCAGCGACATTAGGGAAGGTCAACCACAGAGGCCCGCCCCGCGGCCCCGGCCTTGTCCGCCCTTGTCTGGAGTGGTTGGGGAGGAATGGGATCCTTTCCCGAGGCCGCAGGCTTGAGCATGTACCCTTGGCCGATTCTTTAGGTTCAACGCGTACACCAAGGAAGTGAACACCCTCTGCAGCTGCTGCCACCCTGTTGGCTACTACGAGAAGCAGCTGGTACTGCCATGTCCAGACCCCGGAGCACCGGGCGAGCAGCTGGTACTCACACTGCAGGTGTTCAAACGCTGCATATGTGGCCTCTGGCGCTGCAGAGACCTGGGGCCAGCCCTCCTGGCGAGAGGATGAAGCACCGCTCCCAACCCCACCCCCTACCCCACCCCACCCCAGCGCCTTTCTGGGCATGGCCTCAGAACCAAGGGCCTACTGGGCAGGGGTCCCACAGACCCTGGCCCACCCCACACAAGCCTTTCAGAACACGCCCACCAGTCGTCCACACTGCCTCCCAGCCTTGGAAGGCAGCTGCCCGGCCCTGCCCCACCAGACCCGGGCCTGACGAAGGGCACCCATGAGCAGGGAAGAGGCAGCAAGGCAAGGCTGAGCGGCCAGAAGGGAAGTGAGGGTACCTGCCCACCAACCCCGCTCACCTGGGGAGAGGGTCCCAGCGTGGTGCTCGGAAAACCCCCGTGAACGGAGGACGAATAAACCGGCCCAGGTCAGGCACAGGCCCGAGCTCTGCTTGTCGTCTCCATGCCCGCTGGCACCGTGAACCCCAGCCCCACCTGGCCCACGAGGCCCGCAGGCCCTCTCGCCTTCCTTGGGCCCCCTCCAGGCTCCCTCCCTCCCTCAGGACTCTCTTGGGGAGCCTCCCTGCTGTGGGATCCCGCTCCCAGTCTGTGGTGTGTCTCCCTCGTGAGCATTGGAGGCTCGTTCCCCAGGAGGAACCCTTAGACCCGTGGCCTCCAGGCGGCAGACTGCCCGCCACGTCCTGCCCAGAGGAGAGCCAAACTGGACGAGTGCCCAGCAGGAGGACCCAGAGGCTCACCACACCCCCTGAGCCCACGTGCAGAGCCAAGGCACATTGCCTTCGGGCAGCCACACTCCGGAGCAGCGGTCGCCAACTGGTGGTCCGTGAGGTCCCAAAGTCTGGCAGCCACTCCACCGGCAGGCGCCTGGCCGCGCCACGGGGTCAGTGGCCAGCACGGCCTCCAAGGCGGGCCTCCCTGCACGCGGGGGCTTTCCCTCCACCTTCCCGTCCCTGTCCCGTCCCTCCTGGGACAACACACATGTTCCTGTCATGTCCTGGTGCTGCCTGTCCTCTGGAAGGAGTGTACTCCTTGGTGGCTCACTCCTGCAACGGCACTCGGCCTAGACGTAGCTCCAGGGAGGGCGCAGACAGACACAGGAGAACCCCGTGGGCGGGCCACACGGCAGTGCCGGAGCACTGCGTACCGCCAGCAGCTTTGACAGAAGCACAGGGAGCGTCACGTCTGTGACCGGTCATGCCAGCGGTTAACCCTACAAACTAAGAGGCCACTCAGGTCCCTCCAAGGCCCCCGGACACAGGCGCACACAGAGGTGCTGGTGACTCGGGTGTCTGTGGGTCACACAGCACACACGCAGGGGCTACACTGATGAGGGTGTGGGAACCTGGTGGGGTGCCTGCAGTGTGGCTGCCCCAGACTCAGAGGGCGCCTCCGTGCCTCTGCCTCCCCGGGGCCCACACCACGGCACAGGCGCCTCTCGGGGTGCCCAGTGCCTGCTGGGAAACCAACGAAGCCCTGGCTCCTCCTGGGCCCTCAGGTGCCACCTGCCAGGCTGAGCTGCCGCCCTCTGCACACCAGCCCCACGCAGAACAGAGGCCCAGCTGGCTGAGTTCCTGGGTGGCCAGCTCAGGATGCAGACATGCAGGGTGGCGGCCAGGACAGGGTGACCATCACCAGGGCCGAGTGCTGAGTGGCGCATGGTGACCCCCTCCTGCGCCCATGCCAGCCAAGGTTTGCAGCACTGGCTGCAACTATGACCCAGGGACAATGGCACTGACGGCCTAAGGGTACCAAAAGGGAAGAGACCGGCTTGCCTTCTAGAATGTTCTCGGCTGATCACATTTAACCCTCCAATCACAGATGAGTGAGGTCACCTCTAGAGCCCTCTCATGCCTGCCCCCGCGCAGCCAGTGGGTGCTGCAGACCCCGTTGGGACGCCGTGCTGGAAGGCAGCCGAGCCCAGCAGAATACATGTGGGCGGCAGAACAGGTCCCCTCGTCTAGACCGTGAACCCTGCCCGGGGAGAGCCACGCTCAGCGTGGCAGCCGGCGTGCTCTGGGCTCCGGCCCCAAGGCCCACGCCCAGGGCCAAGCCACGCGGGGACCTCGTCACGCCCCCCCTGCCCTGGCGGCCCCCGCAGGCGCGTGCCTGTTTAGGCTGAGCCCCACGACGAACACTGCTGCCTGCCTGGGAGAAGCAGAGCGGGCAGCACAGCAGTGTGTTTTGATAAAGTTTCAGAAACTATCCATTTTCATTCAAACTTCTAGTTTCCCTTTAATTTGTCGATTTAACCACAGAACTGTCCTGATTTCTATAAAAACGGATCCCAGGGCCGCCCTCCTGACCTGGCAGGCCGCCTGCGGTGCAGGCCCAGCCTCTCTCCTCACACTGCGCACGTCCCGTCCACCCGGAGGGACGAGGCAGGCCGGGCGGGCCTGCGCGGCTGAGCAGACAGTGGCCGAGGCGAGGAGTCGCGGGGCTAGAACTGCTCCGACAGCAGCGCGCACAGTCTCTGGGAGACGGTCTCCTTGCTCGTCCGCAGCGTGAGCCGGTACATCTGCAACAGAGAGGAGGTCAGGGCCGCCCAGGGTCAGGGCCCACGCACTGCCCGGGCAGCCGCCTCGCACTCCCCGCTCAGCCCTGGCCCTCCCAAGGCGCCCAGAGCTCTAGAGCTTTGGGCATATCACCCCGGGCCGCAGCCGAACAGGAGCCTGAGGTGGCAGGTGCCCGGGTGCACAGGAGCCGCTGCTGGGGGCAATCTCAGCCCGCGGAGGGCAGAGGCAGCTGCTCACCACCTAGCCCCACTGGGCCTGTGAGCGCACTGCTCGCTGCATTCCGCCCGCCGGCTGCACACAGGCTCTGCCCCATAACCCAGGGGTCCCGGCAGGAAGGACTGCCGCCGCACCGCCGCGAGGGGAGGCGGAGCCGGCGGCCTGGGCACGTGGACCTTTCGGGTGGGATGGGAATGGCGTGTGCAGAATAGGGGTTCCCCTGGGCACCCAGATCTCCCTGTGGCCACCACACAATGAAGCAACACAGTGTAGGCAGCCATGTCCTCAGGAGGCCTCACCTGGGCCTGGAGGTTCGGTTCCAAGCGCAGCAAGCACCCGATCTGGGTGGTTCTGGTGTGGATGATCCCGGCTCCCACAAAATTGGCAGGGTTCGGGTCGACCTCTTCCAGGAGTGCGGAACCAAACCCGATAATCTGTGCAAAGGAAACGGGAGAGCTGGGACACTGCGGCTGCGGTAGAACACAGGGCCACCCCGGGAGTGCCGCGAACAAGGCCATCACCTTGGCTTTGGTGATTTCTGTGTCCATTGGGTGCTTTGCCTTGAAAATGTTCTGCACCTCCTGCTGGGGACTGAGACACAAACCAGCGTCAGACTTTCCACTGAGGCCACAGGCCCGGCCACCCCTCCCTCCCCGCACAGGGGCCGGCTCACCTGCTCAGCTGCTTCCAGCGCTGAAAGAAATCCTGGGAGGCCATTTCTGTGGGCTGGAAAAACTTGTTGAGTGTGATGGGCAGCTTGACGGACACATTCTGAAAGGTTCCGCCGTACCTGTGAGCAGGAGAGTGCTGAGGAGAGCAGCAGGGCTGCCACTCAGGGGGGGCCACGCCCTGCCTGCCCATCTCCAGGCTCAGAGGGCTGCGGTCCAAGGGGGGGACTCCCACCTCAGCGCCTCATCGGTCCACCCCGCTAGAGGAGCTGTCCTGTTCCCAGGGGCAGCGTGACGGGAGGGTGGCCGTTCTGGCCGTGCACTGTCACTGAGAGGACCGCGCCGCTCACGCCCACTCCTGGGCACCTGTCCTTCAGTGGACACACTGCTCTGGCCGAGCGTTGCGGGCGACACCCCAAGGACGTCCACCCCTCACTTCCCCAACAGGCCATGCCCACCCTCCAAGTCGGCTGAAATTGTTTCGGGTTTTTCCTCTTTTCATGAAAACGTGCCCATGTCCCTCAATTCTACAAAGCATATGATCTTCAGTTCTGTGTATTTGATGTTAGAAAATATGCTTTTCCATGCCCGTGGGGGTAACTCAGCGGTTAATTGTCGACCCAGGAACCAAGAGGTCACTAGTTCAATTCCTGTTGAGGGCAAATGACCTGCGGGCCCCGCCCGATGACACACCAGCAGGCACCACGGGGTCTGGACTCGCTCTCCCCCCGACCTCCACCCTCGGTAGCTGGTGTTGCAGCTGAGCAAGGACGAATGGCTGCATGCAGGCCAGCCCGTCCCCGACCTGGGCTCTCACCTGAACTGGATGTTGAGGACTGGCGCCTCGGTGAAGTCCGACACACACTCGATGTTGACAACCTGCTGCACCTGCGCACCCCCATCCACTGTCGGGTCCACGGGCTTGGTCTGCAGGCTCAGGTGTGTGCGTGTCAAGGCCATTTCAACAAGGGAAGTGGGTCCGAGCAAGCCAGCCTGCACTCCCAGGGCCCAGGTAGCCCAGCGGTAAGAGACCTTCTAAAGGGGCTCAGAAGACTGGTGCTCACGCCACTGACCTGAGACGAAACCTTCAGTAGAGGGGGCTCTACGGGCGAGTCCTTTTAATGCCTATGCAGAAACACTCAGCCCGAACAGGCTACATTTAAAATGCTCTGCTCTCGAGATAAAAGTGGGCAGGTAGCGCCCCCCTCTGGCCAAGTTGGGCCTTGCTCGCCACCACTATGTGGCCAGCCCACCTGGGAGGGAGAATGGTGGACACTAAGGTGATGCCATACCAGCCGGAAGAGCTCCCACATCACTGCTTTTCTGGGGGCACAAGCCTCCCTCTCAACAGACACCAACTCACCCAGCGAGTGGGGCCCGCTGTGTCCGGCAGCAGCAGCCCCGGAAACCTGCCAAGGACACCAGAGCTCAGGGGGACTACCTATGCTACAGGAGAGAGAAGCAAGTGGGACAGGGGCTCCATGGAGCCAGAGGCCAGAAGACGCTGCCTGTCCGGTGGGAGCAGCACCTGAGACGAGGGCAGCACCTGGGAATGGCTTGCTCCTCCGGCTGTTGAAAGCCTTGCTCGCCACCCTCCTCCACACGCACTGGGCTGCTGGCAGGGCTGGGCAGGCAGAACCAAGGATATTGGCCTGAAGGTCGTCTGAGCAAATCAGCGTTGGAGTGAAGTTTAAGAACTGCGTGGAGGTCTTATTCCCATAAAATATGAACATGCGGCCTAGAAGGAAAGTCTGTCTCAAACACGTTTCACACAAACCCCGAGGAGTAACAGAGAGACCAAGAGCCCCACACCCCAAGTGCTGGGCTCCCCCCACCGACAAACTGCGCTGCCGCCCCTCAGGAACCCGGGCGCCACCCCAGCAAGTGTCCTCGCCGCTAGACTCACGGGGTGGACATTTAGGACGCTGCCCTTAGGACAGAGATCTTACACGAATCTCTGTACACATTTCAGACCCTCTGAGTTCGGAACAGAAAGTGAGCTGCAAACCCCAAAAGACCAGCAGTGCAGCAGC